CATGTCTATTGCTATGCTATGCCATGTTTTATTGCTAGCACATTTCGTTATTTGCGTGGAAGACTAGCACATTTCAGATTTTTGCGTGGAAGAGTAGTACATTTCGTTATTTGCGTGGAAGACTAGCACATTTCAGATTTTTGCGTGGAAGACTAATATCATCCACTTTTCTTTTTTTTAAAGGTATTTTTCCCTTGTAAGCTTTAGGCAATTCACAGTGCAATTCACAGCATAAAGTCGTATTTTACTGCCATGTCTACTTGATTTTTGCTATTTTTTATTGTAATTTTCCGTACATGAGATATCTTAACTTTTTGCCAATGAAAATATTTGGACAGTTCTTCGAAGGAAAATATTTCATTTGCGTTTGCGTTGTTGAAAATTTGTTGAGTTTTTTTAGTATTCTCCTGGGCTTTAAACTTGGGCCAATATGGATTTTTTTAAGAGAATTAACTTTATTTTAATTGAAGGTTTTTTAAGTAAATAAATAAACATAACATAAATAATATCACTTTGAAACGGGGTGCTCTTGATATGATACTGTATGTATATGTTTTTTCGTATTTATTTATAAATAAAGATTCCCTGAGAAAGACGCGAATGTCGAAAGGTGTAGGAGGAAAAATAAACGTTTATTTTACTTGTAATAACCGGCCAAAAGGCTCCATATACAACACTAAACTTTCAGCATGACCGAAGAAAAATAATTATAGTATAAACATACATATTTATGTAACTTTTTTTTTAACGGCTGCTACAACCTTATATGAACTGCCTTGCGTATCCCTCTTCCACACAAAAATCTGAAATGTGCTAGTCTTCCAGGCAAATAACGAAATGTGCTACTCTTCCACGCAAAAATCTGAAATGTGCTAGTCTTCCACGCAAAAATCTGAAATGTACTAGTCTTCCACGGCAAATAACGAAATGTGCTACTCTTCCACGCAAAAATCTGAAATGTGCTACTTCAGAAATTGTGTACAGTTACGCATAAGAAATCTACTCAGAAATCGAAATGTGCTAGTCTTCCACGCATCTAAATATAGTCACGCAAATGAATGTCTATTCCGATCTATTCTACTTTGACGCGAATAAGAATGTAGTCAGCTAATGTGAGGCTATCTCCACGCGATAGTGAATGTCCCTGTAGGGACCGACGATATGTACTATGTATGTATACAGTAGATAAGAGTACACACATTCACTTTATCATTACACATGTAACTCATGAAGGAAAGTTTTCATTCGAATTATAAATTCATGCTAGTGTCAATTGTGTACAACTATCTGCTTTTAAAGACAACTACTCTGGACAATCGAAACTTTGTCAAGTAAAAAATGGCACTGATCTTCCTCAAAATATTTCAGTGTCAATTGTGTTAAAATTTAATTCTGAGCACATAAAATTCGCGTTCAAAATTTTATTAAAAAAAAAATTTAAGAAACATAAAAATAAATATCTGACTGGGATTTCGAACCTGAATCCAACTGAGTGCACCATCAAGATTTTTTTAACTCACGGGGGTCTGAACCAAACTATGTGCAGACGTTAGTATTTATACCAGGTAATCAAGCTCGGGGCTTCTCAGAATTTTTTGAAGGAGGGTTTAAGGAGCGACTCTTTATGGTAAAAAATTATATTATTTTTTCTGAAGCATCAGTATGCATTAACCGGTCCGCTTAATCCGCCAAAGATTTTTATCGTTGGGCCTCTAAGGTAAGACTTATCTTTAAAGCCGCTTTATATGTAGCAAAATGACTTTTATTAAAATGGAAGTTTTGACAAGAGCATAGAAGCTGTAACACATGGCAAAAAACTAAGATTTTGTGGTAAGGTAGAGCAAATTCTGTAGAAATTTGTCCACTACAAAGGAATACTAAGGTTTGGACAAATTTAGATCGATATCCGAAAATAGCTGTCCTTATACTATATCAAAAGATTTAGCCACTATGGCAAAAAATAATAGATTTTTTTTAAATAAAAAGCTTGGCTAAATTAAATTTTTTTTAAACAAATACGTGCTTCTTTTACTAGATACTTTTAATATGGCCCAGTTCTCACGGACACATGAGTTTTTCGGCGGAAGTGCATGTCATCTATTAATTAAGGACGACTTAAGCAGGCAATTCGAGCTAGATTAAATGATTTCGTACCTTTTTATTTGTTTAATACTTTTTTTTTAACACGTCTCCCCCTTCTACTACTTTTAAAAAGTATGCCACAGTTGAGACAGTATACCTTTTGGCGAATTCGTAGTAGGATTTTACAGCTTTATTGCTGACGGAGAGTATTTGAAAAATTTCTTTAGCCATAGAAACAAATTTTTTTCTCAAAGCCTTCTTGTTCCGGACATAACGTACTTAGCTTCCTCTGTTAGAAAAAAAGTAGCTTAGTGGTGCCAAGGAATCTTGCTAACCCAAGCCCAAGACATTGTATGTGTCTTTTTATAGACATTTAATATCTATACTCCATCGGAAAACTATATCTATTCAACTCAAATTATCATCATTGCAGCAATATAGGTAAATTTTTTCAGCTGTTCCACTTTCAGTAAGCCATAAGCAAACCTTTGCCGTTTCTGCAGCTTAGTGTGTCAAGTGCTTTTCTAACGATTCCATTATCGTAATGCAATTGCTGCTGTTGACTTTAATTAAGTTTCAATTGTAACAAACGACCAATAACGAGTAAGTTCAATAATCATTTGAGCTTATGGCATACATTTGCATTCGAAGGGGACCACCCAATTCAGGCATTACACGTGCAAGCTTTTGCCATTTGCTTGGATTTGTTAACGACTATTTGCATTTGACTGGCTATGGCATATTCATACATATAAGTATGTAAACGCAACGCTTTGACCTAATTAACAACTCGTTTAAGGCAAGCAAACAGAGTACACTGGTATTTGAATTCCAACTGTTTTTACACATTGCTTAGTAAAGTCACAGATGAATTGTAGGTAAATTCGAGGCCAAACGGCCCCTATTTGTGTTTGTTTAGGATGCTGATGAACCTGCACATAAAAACGGGTTTCTAGAGATGACCTTTCTAAAACTCAGAGTGATTATATGTATCTACTAAATATGTAGAATGCGCTTAAAACTATCTTGCACACATTTGTGAAGACTTTTCTTAAGGGCGTTTTTGGCACGTTCTCTGAGTCTAAAAGCAAACACCGAATGACGGGGTGCGCATTATTTAAAGGTCTGTACGCAATAGGTTTGTAGTGGCGCTGAGAGCATCCGTATTGAAAGTTATCATTACTCCTGTAGTTCCGACAGGGAAGTGTAACCTAAGATCGGACATATAACTGCTATAACTTTTGGGTTACTATTTACTATTACATTTTCATCTATTTCTGGATTAGCTCTTAGACCACAGTGGTCATTAGGAATTTTCTGATTACTGAAGTCGTCGCAACAGAAACATATATCACTACTTTCATATTCCTGGTTGGGTTCCTTTGGTATGCGGCTTCCAAATTCTGCTGAAATTGTTCTTCTGTGCCACATCATGTTTAGCTAAGAGCTCGATGCCAAGCACGTGTAAGGATTTGTGGATAGCTTCTATAATGACAATGTTAAAGGCTACTTCAACTTCAAGTACAGTCGCCAGAGTGTACTGCTCTAATCTCTGGCCTATTCTAAAGACTTCATTAAGCGCCGTCTGAATGGATCTTCCTCTAGGATATGCCTGATTACCCTCAAGCGAATTCAGATTTCGGGATGAAAACTTATATACAAGTTACATGAGCTACTGAGGCGTATTCTGGTTTTCGTACGAATCGAAAATTTCAAATTTTTGTGTAGGAAATGATAGGAAAATTTCAAGATTTCCGATTCGTACGAAAACAAGAATACGCCCCATTATAATATGGATCAAACGAAAGAGTTTTAGTAAATCTTTAATTTGAACATTTAGAATATTTCTGAGAGGTTCGAAGGGGGTTGCCACCTGTTTAGAAAATGTAATTCAAATTATTTAAAAAGTTAAATGAATTATTAAATTATGACTATCTATCGAAATAGGGTTGAAAAAGTTTTATTTCTGAAATATATTCAGAAGGGTTGCCATATGTTTCGAAATTCAAATTCTATTTGAATTAAGGCAATTAATAATTGAAATATTTATCATAATATGGATATCAGATAAAAGAAGAAGATTTTAGCTTGAAAACATTTTTGAAGTGCGTTGCCACCTTTTTGAAAAGTCGAATTTAGTTAACTTATACACAAGCTATATGAAATATCAAAATCGAATATCAATCGAAAGAGATTTATGAAAGCTTTAAATTGAAAATATTTAATATTTTTTGGTTGCCACCTTTTCGAAAAATCATATATATTTCATTACGTATATATTTATGAGGCCGTAAGAGCAGAAGTGGCCTAACCCACACATTCTACTTACTTAAGATAGTTTAAAATGTGGTAAATGTAAATTTTTAAAATATTTTTTAGGGTTTTGAAGAGGTATGCCACCAGTTTAACAAGTTCACTTTATTTATTATTTTATTACTTTTATTATTATTTACTAGGCCAATAGAAGCCAAATCAACAATCTTTAGAAGTTTTGTCTGTCTGTCTGTATGTTTGTACGCGCATTAGTCGAAAACTAATGCATGAAATTGAATGCAGTCTTCGTCGGTGTATTGCTAGAGGTCTAACTTAAAATACAGAAAACAAAAATTAGAGAGTTGCCACATGTTTGAAAATTTTCATTTAACTTAATTTCATTGATAAGATAAATTAAATATTGCAATATGGGTATCAAACTGAAAGGGTTTAGGAAAGTTTGGTGCCGAAATAATTTTTGAAGCGGGTTGCCAGCTGTTTTGAAAAATGTTATTTAATTAAATTGATAAAATAAATGAAATATTACAATACGGGTGTTAAACAACACAAAAATACTTTCAAGGCGCTGTAAAGCACGCCGGGTATTTGCTAGTACTAAAATATTTATTTTTCATGTTTAAATTTCGAAATTCACATTTGCAAAGCTTCTTCTACAACTACTTACAACACAATCCTTATCACAAATGAACCAAATTGCAGCAAAGAACATTTAATTGAATAAAAATACGAGTTACTAATGGCATTGAAGTGAAAATTAATTAATAACAGAAACAACAACAATAACAAGTATTAAATTTACAACAGAAAGTGTAACCAAATCGCAGCAGTGTAGTCGATGTGATGCCATCGCGACGGGCGGGTGGCGGCACAGTGCGACGCAAGCACGCAATTGGTAATCTACGTCGCGCACATCCCGCCTCGGGTGCCACATGGAATGTGCAGGTGGTGCGCGGTAAAATGTCATCTAAATGCCTCTGGCATGCATGCCGAGCACTGATACTGGGCTTAACGCTGATGGTACTTGGCGCCGGTATGGCTATAATAGGTAAGTGAATGGTGACGAATGCAAGAACACGATTTTAACAAATTAAAATACGCAAACCACCCGAAGCTGATTGTTTTTTACGATACCCGAATTTTTTTACCTCCCACTTATAACAGGCTATTATGCGGACTACCTTTCGACGGGCTCTGAGCTGCGCGGCAATGCAACGGTGAGGGTCAAAAATGATCTAAAAGGTTTCCATCTCAACAACCTATCCTACGTCGGACCCATTGTGATGGGCTTTGGTGGCTTCATAGTTGTAGCTTCTTGTGTTATGACATTCGAGGCGCGCGACTCGGCGGCTAAGGTGGTGCCGGCGCGTTTCCGTGCCGGAACTGGTGGCAGTAAGTCGACGGTGCGTAGCAATCAGAGCAGCGCAACTTCACAAAGGCGTGCCATTGGTGAGTTGTAGTGATTTTCTTATATACATATGTATATATAGGAAGAAATTATAAAAAATTGCGCCCTTCAACACACAGGCATTCAACTGCAAAGCACGCGTTGGGATCAACAGTTCGGCGTATTTCGCACATCACCGGCCGAACCGCCACCTCAGGTCACGCCACAGCCCTTCGATCGGGAGGCGCTTACAGCCGAGCTTATCAAATTCTCCAAGTCGCTCAGGTAAATATTGTGTATTGCATTTGCTTCTCATCAACTTCTTGTTAAGCGCCAAAATTTTCCACATGCAAACGCTTTGTAAATAATGCATATTATCTACACGCTTCCCGCAAGCAAACCATTTTAACCCAACCACCGCTCAGCTCAGCTCTGAATATTTGAGTTATATATAAAACAAACCAAAAAAATCGCTTTCGCTTTCATTTCATTAGCGCATCCGCTCGCTTTTCTCCACAACTACGACGCCTCACCCACACTGGTTCTGTGCCAAATCTCTCCACACATGTCCCCCATCCCATCGCTTACTCCACTAACCTCTCACATTTGCTTTCGCCGAATCACAAACCGCTCCTGTTGCTGGAACAAAAACGTAACCGACACCATCATCGGCATCATCATCACCACCACCACCACAACCACAACCACAATCGCAATACGCACACCAGCAGCAGTGGACGGCAGGTAAAGACGCGTGGGTCGCGCATTAGCAATAGTTTGGTGCAACGCAATACCCGTGAGAATGGTGGTCCTTGTGCGTTGCTCCAGCCGCCATCAACCAACAAACTGTACTGGCATGCAGCCTCTTTCGATGATGGTGCGCGTGTGGAAAAGCCGTTATCGCGAGCTACGGTAGCCGATATGGCGCGTCGCTCGGACACAGCTAAACGTCATGTGCTGGCACGACAGAAGCCCATCGAACAGGAAGAGGACAAGAGTAGTCCGCTAGGCAATCGCAGGTAAGTGGAAGTGAAAACGTTTTGTTACAAAAAAATTTGCTTTTCTTTTGTTTCCGAAAGCCTATGATGAGCGTAATTGTCTCAATCTCAGTCCTATTGAATGAAATTTATTATACGCAGCTAAATTTTTAGAACTAACGGTTTCTTCTCACAACTTTCACAAAAATTCCTTCTTTAAATCTGCAGATGCTCTACAATGTCAGACTCATCGTATAGCGGCCGCTGGACGGCACGCTGCGCATCAATGGCTAGCCGCGCCTCAAGCATCGATTCACGACGCATTCAAGTTGATTTGCATAGCCCTGAGGTCATGCCTAAATCCATACTGCGCTCACCGAAGAGGTATAGTTCCGGACCATCGGCAACACCATCGGTGGAGAAGGAGTTTAGGTAAATGTACAACATTTATCATTTACAAAAGTAATTTATTTCGGAGCTCGGATGAGTTGGCCTGGAAAGGCACACTCGCACTAGTCCCAACGTGGAAAGAAAGAGTGGTAGTAATCTTGACTACTTGGGCCAACGGGCACCGTCTCCAAAACCAGAAAATGTGGAGCTCCAAGGTATTTCTGGTAGATTATCGACCAGAGGTGTTGAAAGGTTATTCCTTTGCTCCCAAAGCACCTTCTCTTAATTCTGATGGATATTGACACGAAACTCTCCGATAGGTATTCACGCGGTAAGACTGATGCAGCTGCTTAGAGGACGATTAGGTGGAATTATCTCAAAATTTTTTTAAACTGACCAGCTTTGACGTAGCTGAGGTCTCAATGCCTTTGATCAAACTTTTCAACCAGCCCTGAGGAGCTCTCGTGAACTGCATCACAAAAGGCTGATGCTTATAGCCCAAGTGTGCCCCTGTTTTGTACAACCAACTAACCTAACCTTGCCTTACCTGATCTATAGCGCACAGCCCGCACAGATCACAAAAGAACTCGATTATGTACCCGTCTAAGAGAAACTCTAGAAAACTCAGTTCAATCTAAAGTAAAATCGAGACATATCGACTTTATCGAAATGTTGCAGAACCTTTAGTAAGCCTCGTCGTCTGAGAGTGACTATGTAACTTTAGTGTATACATATCTTTCATCAGCCGACCGTCTCATATTTTCCTTTCCTGTATGGTGGGGTAGAACTATGGTCAAAACCACATATCCACATAGGCATTACGGGCGCCACGAGTACAACGACAAGGGCGGCTCTTAATGCTTTGTTGGATGTGACACCCCCTAATTTTAGTTAAACTGCATTGTTTTGGGTTGTGGCACGAAGATTGGATTTCGAGGCGCAGAGATTGGTTCAAAATTACTAACTGATATTTGGAGTTTCTTTTGTAAGAAAGTACCTCCTCCGCTTTCCTACCAGGGCACAATTGAGATATCCAACGCTGCCTTGAGGAACGCGGTAAAAACTTTCTATACTGATGGTTCCAAGGCTAAAAATGGAACTTTTTGGCAGCTGGAGATTAAAAGGGTCCATATTGAAAGAAAATCTGATCTAGAGGCCTTATTAACTCTTTGTACCTCTTCAAGAATTGCCACGTAATGTATGTATGTTGAGGCTCCTTGATGAACTGCATGAGATTGGGTGATAGACCCTATTAAGCTGGCATTTCAGGGTACTATTTTATATATATATAAGGAAAATTTGAAAGTTAGGGGGGTGCCCCTACCTGGCTACGCCCATGGACCGTTCTCTGAGCGTGGCGATTAAGATTGGGACCTCAGACTTTCTATATATTTATGACGTTAAGTACTGTGGTGGTACTATGCGCTTTCTGGGCGATGAGGCTTAGTCGCAATCAAATCATTCCGGAAGTTGGGGAGTACTAGGTGTCTTCACTAGTGGATAAATGAGAGTTATCGGATGATATGAATACCCTTTGTGCGACGGTTTACCAGGTGAAAGTAGTGGAACCAATTTACCAGACTTTCCGCATGTCTGTGTGGTGAGCTCATCTACTCCCGTTGTCTACATCCTTTTATAACTAGAATTGCTTTCTTTCACAATTCTAGTTAGATATTCAGAAAATTATAAAGACACATATTGAGCCGTAATCGCCAAAAAAAACATAAGCGATATTTTTTTCAAACCATTTATTTTGATGCAGAAATGCATCTAATAGCTCTAGGAGCATTTCTGCGTCAAAAAAAAATTTACAAAAAAATTTGCTTCTTTCTCCTGTTACGGCTCGATATTCTTTTTTAAACTCATTTACATATGTATATGTTTAATGCATTTCAATCTTCATAAAAAATCTACTCTTATACACTCGTCATTTCAGAAGCCAATTAAGCGTTTGTTCAGAGCCACCTGCAGCCATACACCAACTATCCGGTCA